GGTGGAGGATGGGGATGGAATGAGATGAGTTTTAGGGTCCCTTCCAACCCCCAAACCAGTCAGGGGTTTGATGGCTCTGTGGGATGGGCCAGAGCAGGTGCTTGTCCCTGTTGTCCCCACAAGAACTGGGTTTATGGCTGTTCCTCCAAACCCCTCCTTCAGTTTTCCTACACCAATTACTGCATCCCTTCAATACTCGCACCCTTGGCCAGGATGGAGTGAGAGGAACAGTTTTCTAGGAAGTTTTCTGAGAAAATTTCAGCTTTTTTTTTTTCCCCCATAGGTTTTGCCAAAGGGTTTTATCCCATCCCTGGAGTCTTTTTGGCTCACCTCAGGCATTTCTCAGCCTCACCAGCTCAGCCCTGAGCTTTCCCCCCAGCTTTTCATGTGGGATATTCTCACAGATGAGCTGCTGTGTTTTGCCCAGCTGTGCCTTGTTGCAACTTCAGAGCTTTCTCAGAATCACAGAATCACCAGGGTTGGAAGAGACCTTCAAGATTTTTGAGTGGAAACCATGCCCTGACACTTCAACTAAACCATGACACCAAACACCACATCCAATCTTTTTTTAAACACATCCAGGGACGGTGACTCCACCACCTCCCCGGGCAGATCATTCCAGTGCTTTATCACTCTTTCTGTAAAAAACTTTTTCCTAATATCTAACTTCATATTCTCCCTGCCTTCCCAACTGCTGGGGGGAACAGAGGTTTGATTTGATCCCCAAATCTCCTCTGGATGAGGCTGCAGCCGCTGGAGGTCACTGCAGCTCCGCATGGAGAGCGATTCCTGGAGCCTTGGAGATCCTTGGGAATCTTGCGTGGYTGCTGTCCTCCTCCAGGATTTTAATCTGTTTTAATTCTAATCTGAATTTTAATTTTAAACTCCAACCTGTGGGTGTGCAAGCGTCAGAGAGGGGAGATTTATTTGCCTCGGTGACCAAATAAACCCCAGGTGAATAGAAAGACAGCTAAAAGCCACAGGAAGAAGACAAAATGGGAAAAGGAACAGAAAAAATGACAGACTTTTCCCATTGCTATATGCATGGAATGAGAATAGAGGGTATTTTTTGTAAATTCTTATAAAATACAATTAAATTCTTATGAAATACAATTAAATTCTTATAAAATACAATTAAATTCTTGTGAGTACAAAATTAAAATTAAATTCTTAAAAAAAATACAATATTAAATTCCTAAAAAATAGAAAATTAAGTTCTTATGAAATACGAAACTTAAATGCTTGCTAAATACAAAAATTAAATGAAATTTTTATAAAAT